TTTGTATCTACTTATTTATTAATATGTTATACTAATTTAATAATATAACATTATTATAAATTTATAATCTTACATGATATTGTAACTATAATATTGTCATTCTAATAAAATGTTTATTTTTGTCAACCGACTTAGAATTCTAATAAAATGGTTACAAATTTTTAAACTTGTTCGTCAATTATAGTTCTCGACTATTTAGGCTAACAAAAACATCAAGCATTATTTAAAAAAATAGGGTTATGTATGCCTTTTCTTGTGGAGAATTTGCATCTACAATATCTTGTTTGAAATAGTAATGAAGTCAGCTATAACAACCTAGTATCACATTGAGCGAATAACAATTTATTTAGTGACTAAAATTTTGGTTTTTGACAAAGTTGACTCACCACTTTGTAAGAGTTATATATTAGAGGACAAAAACATTGATTGTGACCAAATTAGATAACCACTCATGAGATTTGCCCTATACATACATTAATATATATTATATAACTTAAGTTTTTGTCCCCTTTGATAAATTCTTTGATACGTACCAATAATAAAGTTTCTGATGGAAAAGTAAGGCAAATATATATATATTTAATACTTTTGGATGGTTTGGATGAAGGTGATGTCAATTAGTATAATGGTTACAATATAAAACCAAGGGAATTAGGAGTACTAAATTAGAGAGAGAGCGAGCGAGCAATTGTTACTCCTTACAATAATTTTATTGTTATTCCTTGCAATAATTTTATTTAGTACGTGAGAGTTGAGAGTAGTTAGGTAACATTTAGGAGAGGTGATGTTAGAAGTAATTTGATTAAATTAATTTGAAAACCAGAACATATTTTAAAACACTTCAATTCGTGGGAGTCACGCATGCATTGTTAAAGTTTATGAAAATTATTTATAAATATTTTTTTTTATTTTTTTATATAATTCTATATGTTATTTAAATGATTAATTTTTTTAATTATTTAGAACTTGTGATATTTAGTATATTTATTTATTTAATAATATGTAAAAATTATATAAAAATATTATTCTTATATAAATTATTCGTATATAAAGAGATTATATAAAAATATTGTTCTTATATCAATGCCCTAAAATTATCATAACTTATTCCTCTCGATTTTCTTGAGTAATGGATTTAAATCTCACATCTCCAAAGTTGAACCATTTTAAACAAAATCAACTCCAAACTTTTACACTTGTACCTAAAAGAGTTATTTTTTCAAAAATAGCTTTTACAATTCGTTTTGTACTTAAAATTACCAATTTTGAGTGAAAAAATAAAAATACTTTTAATAAATCATATGATGATTGAAGATAAAAATATTTAACTTACATGATTGATTCACTTTATCTTATGTTAACATATCTTAATTGTATAAGCTGGCACACTTGTTACTTGAACTATTTTGACAAGTAAAAAACATATTATGTATGGAAATTGGGAGGCCTGCTCTCTTTAAGACAAATTAAAAGAGAGACTACGAAAGGCCTTCTCCACACCATTTCAAGTATATTTTTGAGTCCCTCTTTTTCCCTAGTCGTTTCTTTCCTTCTCCTTTACTACCATTCAGACCTTACTTGACTGAAACATTGGAGGGTGCACACCGGAGGCACCTTTGATGCCAATTCTAACGAGTTCTCCCTTTATCCCGCTCGCAGGTGACACAAGTACTCAACATCTCATCTAACTATTCCAGACAGCAAACCCACGATAATCACATGTACAGTTATTTACAAAGAAAAAGAACGAATTTTAGAGAAAATTCAGGTAACGTGCTTTCTTTTGACTGGACTTTTTCAAATCAACAAATGATTCTTTGCTTTGAAGACTCAGCATCATAACCATTCCATCAAATAGCACGAGCTATAATTGAATTTGACTCCACCCAACCCAAACTCTTGATTTTGCGCTCATATCCCCCACTAATCATGCACCGTTTTCATTCCACATTCTTTTGTCATTATTAACGATATATATTCCACTAACAAATTAAATAATTTAATAATAATATCTTATTATAAAAAATAAGTGGTTTTAAATTCAAGTGAAGTGTGGAATAAAAAATAAAATAATGTTATTTCTTATTATGTAACTAAAATAATATATATATTCCATTAATTTATATTTCAACTAAAAAAAAATCTAAAAGAAGAGAGAAATAGAGAGTTTTCTTTTTGTACATATGAAAAGACAAATTTTCATCTTTCATTAAATCCCTTCCTTTCCAACGAATTAAATCTTAAATTTAAAGTTTCCAATCTAAAAATTTAAACTCTTGCAAATTGAAATACCCTTTATATATAGGGGAGAGAATGGTTGAAGAAATAATATCTGAGCTTATAGAGCAAATTATATATTAAAAGTATAGTTTAGTTTATAAATTTATTTAAATACTTTAAATAAAATAATATAAGTAATAATTTTAGTAAAAATATTTAAATAAGGGAGAGAATGGGTGAAGAAATAATATCCGAGCTTATAGAGCAGATTATTTATTAAAAGTATAGTTTAGTTTATAAATTTATTTAAATACTTTAAATAAAATAATATAAGTAATAATTTTAGTAAAAATATTTAAATAAATTTATAAAATAAATTATATTTTTAATATATAATCTAGCTTATAAAATATATTTTTGTAATTTCAATTAGGTATTTAAGCCGATAATTTCACTGACATGGAGCAGCAGGGTGACCAAATTAAATGATAAAAATTCCCACTAGAAAAAGCTATACATGACCATGAAAATGAAACCCTTTCGAGCTGATCAGCATGGGGTTGGCACAGTAAAAAAGGTTGATGCCTATATCAAGATCAATCATGCAATGCTGGACCAGAGACCTGAAGGGCTGCTGATGATTGGCCTCCCACCATTCTGATCAGTGGCATGATGATGTGATGGGTGCAAATCATTTGGTGCATGTCATATTTTATACCCCACTGGAAAAAGGTCCCTAGCCCCATCTCTTTGCATTTGTTTTCCTCTTTTTGACCGTGGGAAGTTGGTATAATTATAGAGCTAGCGCGCCTCAGCTTAATGTTTGAATAAACTTACTAGCATGCCACCGAATCAAATCTCAATTTAACCTTCAATCCAGTGATTACAAGATAAATTGAGGGAGTGGTTGATTGGGAGTAATTTTTTCCCTTAAATTTTTTTTATAAGATTATTTATATATTTTTATATATTAACACTATGTCATAAATAGAGTAAATATGATATTTTGAATTTTTTTTACACAATAATCAACTAATAAAGGGTTTCTTTTTTTTCGATTTTGAATCATACACCGAAAGGCAATCTTCTTCTATCATTTAACCCATTCCACCTTTATACCATATAATTTAAATTTTAAATATCTTATTTCTAAAGAAAGAAAATCACCATTAAATTATTTAAATTGTTGACAATCTATAAAGCTTTTTCCTTACCTATTTTCAAAGAAAAAATGTTTTCCTAAAACTTTCACTAATTAGACCCATTTAACAACTTTTCTTATTAACTTCTCTTATATTAATTTCTTATCACATGTAATAAAGTTAATAACCCAACAAAACTCATTGCAAAACTTAGCAACGACTTTCCTAATAACTTTTGTAGTAAAAAATTTCCTAGTGAAATGGCTCTCTAACCAAATAGATCTTAGGGTTTGGGAAATTAATTTTAGGTTAAAGTTCTTTTACCCGTTAATCATTCATTGCATGTTTAGTTAAATGTTTATTTGTACATGTTAAAGCTAATTAAATACAGTAAATAAATTGTTCTTCAGTTTTTATTTTATATATTTTTTGGTTTGGACGTTTAGATATGTTCACACCAGTTTTTTTTCACATATCAATACTAATTCCCCATCCAATAATTTCAAAAGCATATCTCTCACAGTAGTGTGGTGTATTCAAGAGAAATTAATTTTCATCAATATTTATTTATCCCAAATTTTAAACCATATACCTTACATACAAGAACAAACATCCAACCCCTTGGCTTTGTTCTTTAGGTTTAAGACAACAAGCAACTACATATTCAATCTAGTAATACCAAATGAAATTAGTGTTTATCATCTGTATTTTCAAAAAAAAATTAGGTGATAAAACATTTAAAATTATATCATTTGAATAAAGTAGTATGAGAACAAATTAAAATAGTCTCATTTCTACTTTAGACCTAGGATGTTTCAGTTTTCTCTAATTTGAATTTATTAAAATAAGGTAATTTTATAAATTTTTTTTCATTTTATTTTTTGTAAGTACAGTTGATAGACATTTTTGCATACTAATTACTAAATACTAAATATATATATTCGAAGAGGTTAATAAAGGGCCCAAATTCATAAAACTAATTAAATGTCCAAGCCCATGAGAGGTGTTTATTATTTGTCTCTAATCAATGAAATTATTCATCCAGTCCACCATAAGGCTAGCCCATATAAGTGGGCTTCTTATCTGTGAGCCGAAATCGAGTCACTCAACCATGATATGGCCCATGTTCTCATCATATATATTTTTTTATTTCTTGAACAAGCCCATGAATTTTCTCTTCATCTCCCCACCCCACCCCTTTTTTCTGTCTTCAAT